CCTTGTCCTCTGACATAGATACTCCCTTTTCCGAGATGTGATAGCCAAGATACTCTACCTCTCGGACATGGAAGGATGTCTTACTGATGGAGGCACACAATTTTGCTTCTCTCAGCTTCTGTAGCACCTTCTCAACCAGCCGTTCATGCTCTTCCTCAGTCTCTGAGTAGATGAGGATGTCGTCAATATAGACAACCACTCCTTCATCCAGTAGTTCCTTTAGCACATCATTGATCATTGCCTGAAAGGCGGAAGGGGCGTTGCATAGACCAAATGGCATCACATTATACTGATACAGTCCATAGCGGGTTCTGAAAGCGGTTTTCCATTCATGCCCTTCTGCTATCCTGATCAAATTGAAGCCATTCTTCAGGTCTATCTTCGTGAAGATCTTGGCCTTGAACAACCTATCCCTGAGCTCGCTCATGATAGGCAGTGGGTACTTGTCCTTGACAGTGACCTTGTTCAAACCTCTGTAGTCAACGCAAATCCGCCATGTCCCATCCTTCTTAGGTATGAACAATATGGGTGCCGCTGCTGGGCTGCTAGATCTGGAGATCTTTCCCAAAGACAACTCTTTGTCTAGATACTCCCGGAGGGCCTTCAACTCTGGAGCGGAACATGGGTATAACGGGCCAAATGGGGGAGCGGTACCAGGCAAGAGATTGATCTTCAAATCATTCCGAGAGTGCGGAGGCAGCTCCTGTATCTTCTCTTGACTGAATACATCAGCCCATTCCCTGTAGCGGAGAGGTATCCTTTCAGAGATATCTCCTCCATCCTCATCATGCCATACTGAAGCGGCCAGTTGATACACTACATCTTCTTCTTCCATCAGTTGATATGAAGAGATGGGTTCAAACTTGATCGCTGCTGGGAGACAGTTCTGCTTGCAGTAGTCACTTCGCCAGCTTATGGTATTGAGTTCCCAATTGATATCCGGGTTATGCTTCCTTGCCCATGCAATTGGCAGGTAACCTGATATTCCTTCTTCCAAAGTAGCCACCTCCCATCGGAGTGTCTCCTTGTGATCCCCCATGCTCATGTGGACTGGGTGAGTGTAATACTCTCCTCCGCCCATCATGACATCTCCTTGAGCATCATACATTGTCAGAGGTTGATCTCGCCGCACTAAGGGAACACCATGCTTTCTGACAAAACTCTTGTTGAGGATTGCTCCTGTACAACCGGTGTCAAAGAGGAATGTCCCTTGGGCGTCTTCAACTTTATTCTTGACCGTCCATGACAGTCCTGCTTTCAGTATCGGCCTTTTGCCATGTACTGGTAAGGGTGGAAGCTTCTCTTCTAACCTTCTTCGCTTCTGTGCGGATTCTGGGCTTGATTCTCTTTGTCTTTTCTCCATTGCTAATAGCTGCGGGCACTACTAAGATCAAAAGATCCTTTGGTTCTATTCCCAAGCAATGATAAAGCAAATTATATTGTGTGGTAGTCTGGTAGCGGTCGGAAGTGTCTTGTAGCAAATGTAACTTTGGCAGAGCACTTACAGACCAGCTGTTTCGGGTCATAAACCCATCCTCAGAGTGCTTGGAAACAATCAAATAGGCGGAAACACAATAATTTATTTCAAGAAAAACAAGCAAACAAGACCCAAAAGAAACTAGTAAACAAAGACTCTAGACAGACACATTTTTTCTACCAGATGATTTCATTGTCCGAGTCTTGCTCAGGCTGGAAAACGAAATCTCCTGTAACCTCTGGGAGTACAACAAGTGGTTCCTCTGCTACAACAGCAGCCACTTTAGCTTTCTTCTGAGGATTGGGCTTGCCATTTCCTCTCTTCCGCTTTTGTACCCTCACTGCTGCCACTCGGGCTACTGTTGGTTCCTTGGACCAACAATCGGTCCATTTGTGTCTGGACTTGCCGCACTATTGCACAAGTCAGTCTATGCACTCTACCAATAGGGAGTACCGGAAGGTCATACCTTCAAGCATACTTCTGCTTTCCTTCTTTCTTCTAGAATATCCCCCGGGATACCCTTCAACTCCACCGCTTTGTCTTTGGAACTGGCTTCCTTCTGAGGTTTGGAGGAGCTTGCGGCTTCTCTCTTCCTTTTGGGGTGCCGTTCCTTCTCAGCAGGGGGATCTTTCTTGGTCCTGGCGGGTGCTTTCTCAGCTACTACCGCCTGGTACCTCTCATGGGTGTGTCCTAGCTCCCTTAGAGCAGCTATCCGCTCCATCAAGGATTTTGGCTTGGGGGTAAAGAGGGCCCAACTCATGCCTAGGTCCGGGAGGAGGGAGCTAAGGATCTTATCATCCACTAACTGACCCTCGTAGCCAGTCTTCCACATCAGCTGAATAATACTATTCAGGAAGGAGTCTATTCCTCCCTTAGCTGTGTGGGTAAGGGTGTTCCATTGGGCTACCGCATCATCCCTAGAGATGGCTTCACCAAAGGCTGCTCTGAGGGCATCCACAAAGGAATCCCAGCGCTTCCATCTCTCATCCAACACTACAGGCATTCCAGCTATCCGGTTGGCAGAAGCTTGGTCAATGGAGTTGTGATAGGCTTCATACCACTTGACCGGAGCATCTCCTTCCATCAGGTTGCCAGCATAACGGATCCTAACCTCTTCGGAGGTAAAGGACTGGCTTTCAATGGAGAAGACGTTCTCACATTGCCGGATGAAGGTCTCCACATTATCTGCTTTGCCATTGAACTTGGCCGGAGGGGGTGCCTTGGGTTCTCGGGCCCTGGAGGCAGCGGAGGGGTGCGAGGGGGCCGGAGGTCTCATGAACTGGGCCATGGAGGCCAGAAGCTCCCTTTGCTGCTTCTCCAACTTCTTCCTGAGGTATCTCCGCCACCCTCTTCTGTCACCATCCTCAGGCTCCGAGTCCGAACTATCTGAATCCCCTCCTGGGTTGGGAGCGCCACCAACCGGGGGAACAATTCCATCTCCTCCACCATTACCCGCTGGTTCAGGGTTCTGGTCTTCTCCACCAGGGTTTTCTTCTGGCTGGAGGTCTCTCCTAGGTGACTCCGGGGGTGGTGAGCCTCTGTGGGATTCGGGGGATAACCCTTGACGAACCCAGGCTGGGGGAAGCCCGGAGGGACCCCTCCTAACCGGTGTCTGGGAGTAGTAGTCATCGTCTCCTATAGGCTGTCGGGGAGGCCTAGCTAGGCCACCTGTCAAAGGGCTTGCTGGGGCTCTCTGAGGAGGGAGAGGTGAGCCTCCAATAGCCGCTGGCATCATCAGGGGAAGAGTCCTCTGCCTGATGGACCTGACCGGAAACGCTGCAAAGGGGTTCACCCTTTGGTGGAAAGTTCTCAGGGCCGCTCTGGATGAGGCCCTGGAGTTCTGCGGAGGTGCGGGATTTGGGACAGGTGCTGGTGTGGGCATCCGGGCGATGGAGAGCCTTCCCTCATTGATGGCTCTTTGGATGTCCTCCAGGAAGTTAGGGGGCATCGCCGGGCTTGTCCACTCAATGTCCTCCATCTCATCCGCTTCTAAGTCATCTCTCTGGGCATAACTCAGGAGTTGTGCCTGGACTGAGGAGACTTGTTGTTGCATATAGCCGAAGGCATCTCTGAGCAGGACTGCCTCAGCTTCTTGTCTTTCTTGCACCAAAGCTAGCGCATTGCCGGCTTTGATGACTTCTTGTTGCAGGCTGTGCTTAAGGTAGCTCTGCAACTCCGCGAAGAAGTCCTGCAGGGTGACTTTATCGGTATCTTGCCAGGTGGGCTCACATCCGGGGATGTAGGACTGGAGCGCCGTCCTGGGCTTGTGGATCAACTGTGTTTGACCCTCTTGGAATTCTAAGGCTGCCGGTTGCCATTCAATCTGAAGAGGCACTTGGGGAGCCGGGAGGGCGGACATGTTGTAAGAGGAAAAGAATAATCTGAAGGTGATTTGAGCACTAAAGATTATCTGTAACGGGGGCAGCCTATCTATGTATCGCTAGAATCCAATAGAATAGACGCGGCCGTGCAAGATAGAAATCAGGTGCAGATTTATTCAAAGATACTATCGCTGGAACTCAATAATCTTTAAGGGCTCTGTTACCGATCATTCCAGATAAAGATGAAGATGAGGATTCGGACAGTTGGGCGGGAATGATCCTGAGTACTTATACTCCAAAGGACTCTATTCTCTGCTCCTACTTCCTTACTAAGTTCCGGCGCTGCCTTCCAGTGGAAAGGGAAGCAATACCATCGCTACCCCGCTTCTCTCTAAGCGTGAACGAGTGCTTCCGGTTCCGAAGGCAACCGCCCTTAGTCAAAGCCTTTGTAACACCTGCAGCCGTTGTTGCCACACAACAGGGGGCCTGCATGAATGAGCTGCCGCTCAGGTGTAAGCTTAATCATTGCTGTAGAGCTTTCGCTTATTGTAGACTTCCCAGGCATAATCCTTTCCGTTACCGGCGGACTTCCCATGCTCAGAGGATGTAGAGGATCGCCGAGCACTCAGAGCTCCACTCTGGCTGGCCTTCTAATCATTGGCGAGGCACAGACTCGTCAGTCGTTGCTCCCATGAGTAGATCCTCTTCCTAGCGCTCAGAATGTAGTTACTCTGACAGCTGGTAGCTAACCACACTGCCGGTACTTGCATGTCACTGTGCAGCTGGCTTCTAACAATAACTCTCAGCATGTAACCGGGCCCTGTGGGTACTCATACACCAGACAGTTGAAATGGCTCCGTTACAGCGGGGTAGCGATGGTATTGCTTCCCTTCCGCTAGAAGGCAGCACCGGAACTTAGTAAGGAAGTAGGAGCAGAGAATAGACTCGTTTGGAGTATAAGTACTCAGGATCATTCCCACCCAACTATCCGAATCCTGATCTACATCTGGAATCATCGGTAGCAGAGCCCTTAAAGATTATTGAGTTTTAAGCGAAAGAATCTTTGAATAATCTAAACCTGATTTCTATCTTGCACGGCCACATCTTTCTATCGGATTCTAGCGATACGTGGAAAGACTGTCCCCATTACAGATAATCTTTAGTGCTCAAGTCACCTTCAGATTATTCTTTCCTCTGACAACATGTCTACCCTCCCGGCTCCCCAAGTGCCTCTTCAGATTGAATGGCAACCAGCAGCCTTAGAATTCCAAGAGGGTCAGACACAGTTAATCCACAAGCCCAGGACGGTGCTCTAGTCCTACATCCCCTGATGTGAGCCCACCTGGCAAGATACCGATGAAGTCACCCTACAGGACTTCTTTGTGGAGTTGCAGCGCTACCTCAAGCACAGCCTGCAACAGGAAGTCATCAAGGCCGGCAATGCGCTAGCCTTGGTGCAAGAAAGACAAGAAGCTGAGGCAGACCTGCTCAGGGATGCCTCCGGCTACATGCGAGAACAGGTATCCTCAGTCCAGGCTCAGCTTCAGAGCTATGCCCAGAAAGATGACTTAGGAATGGATGAGATGGAGGATGTTCAGTGGACAAGCCCGGCCATGCCTTCCAACTTTCTGGAGGAAATCCAGAGAGCAATCAATGAGGGAAGGCTCTCCATCGCCAGGATGCCCACACCAGCACCTGTCCCCAACCCCGCACCTCCGCAGAACTCCAGGGCCTTGTCCAGAGTGGCCATGAGAATCTTCCACCAAAGGGTGAACCACTTTGCAGCGTGTCTCGTCAGGTCTATCAGGCAGAGAACATTCCCCCTGATGATGCCATCGGCTATTGGAGGCTCATCACTCCCTCCTCAAAGAGCTCCAGCGAGCCCGCTGGCAGGTGGCCTAGCTTGGCCCCCCCGATAACCAATAGGAGAAGACGACTACTACTCCCAGACACCGGTCAGGAGTGGTCCCTCTGGGCTCCCTCCAGCCTGGGTTCGCCAGGGGTTGTCCCCGGAATCTCACAGAGGCTCACCACCCCTGGTGTCACCTAGGAGGAACCTCCAGCCAGAAGGAAATCCCGGTGGGGAAAACCAGAACCCAGAACCAGCGGGTAATGGTGGAGGAGATGGATTTGTACCCCCGGTTGGTGGCGCTCCCAACCCAGGAGGGTACTCAGACAGTTCAGACTCGGAGCCTGAGGATGGAGACAGAAGAGGATGGCGGAGATCCGTCAGGAAGAAGCTGGAGAAGCAACAGAAGGAACTACTGGCCTCTATGCCACAGTTCATGAGACCTCTGGTCCCCTCACACCCTCCGCTGCCTCCAGGGCCCGAGAACCCAAGGCACCCCCTCCGGCCAAGTTCAAAGGCAAAACAGACAATGTGGAGACCTTCATCCGGCAATGTGAGAATGTCTTCTCCATTGAGAGGCAGTCCTTTACCTCCGAAGAGGTTAGGATCCGTTATGCCCGCAACCTGATGGAAGGAGATGCTCCGGTCCAGTGGTATGAAGCTTACCACAACCCATTGACCAAGCTTCTGCCAACCGGATAGCTCGTGTAACAGAGCCACAGTAGGGCTGTAACAAAAGTACCTGTTCTACCAGTCAAGCCATGCGACCCTAGGGTAATCACCGCTTGTTCTTCATCGATGGGTGAAGACAAGGGCAGATGAGCCCCTACCTCTATTGGTATGGAGGGTAGGGATCCTGGCGAGCAAGAAGTCTTACAAGGCAAGCTAGGCAACTGGACCAAAACTAGAGCAGAAGGATGAGCATGACAAATAAAGAAGGGTAACCCCAAACATAAGTTACCCTACCCTGGCAGTCAATCTTTGAGGCGCAATAACTTAGCAACCGATGCCCGGAAAATATGCTTTACCACGTCAGAAAGGATCCTGACGATGCTCCAGTCCATTTGGGGTGGTTGAATGAACGGATTGCGGAGTTGAGGAAACACTGAAAAATAAACACGTTTTAGACCCCCAAAAATAACCCCCGGAGTGTCGAACCGCCGGAACCCTCCTGTTTCAGCCCGGTGCACCTTTGAGGGGGAGTAGGAGTACGACCCAAGCTACTAAAAGCAAACCTCGCTTTACAAAACACCAAATCTGTTCTAAAACAAATTGAATAAGCAATTGCTATCTGGTCGGTTGTTTCCACTAGTTCTTAGTATCCCGACCAGCTCTTGGCAGAGATTGCGTGATTTGACTTGGGCGGAAGTTCGTCCGAGGTGTGGCAGCAACTCCTCTCCCCCCTCATAGAAAAAAAATTCGCGGTGTCCCCGGACTAGGGAGGAACGGACGGCCTAGAGAGAAAAGCGGGAAAAAAGGGGCGGAACTTCGATAAAAAGTACTCGGTTGCCCCTCAGTTTGAACTCGGGGAGTCATGGAATCTTTACTAGCGAGGAGACCCCTTAAAGTTATTAAGTTTCTAGACTACAAATACGATCAAACAAATAAACTCCATCTTTGGATCGAACGAGCCCAATGATAATCCATCGTTCCCCGTTTACCATTTCTATTTTGCTCGATGTCACGGTCGTGCCCCATCCTAGCACCCCCGTTACAGTATAACTTTAAGCTCCTCACTTAAAGAACACCACGAAAGGGAAAAATCTACCTGAACATCGGGGACCACTCTCAACGCTGAAATAACCAAGCAGTTAGCTTTCTTTTATTCAGCTCGGGCTGGCATGGGAGAGGCTAACACGTTACTATGGTCTCCACTGTATCCGTCAAAGGGTTATAGCGCCCACATTCGCTTAAAGGGTTATAGCGCCCACATTCGCTCAAAGGGATATAGCGCCCAGCTTCGCTCGAAAGGAGACCACATCTAGGATCGCTACTAGAAAATCCTGATAGCCCCATTGACCAGAGGACCCCATTTCCCATCTGGGCCCCAGTCCCAACCAAAGTCAATGTCCCTCCGTCCACGATGACGACAGGCAGGGTCTGGAAGAGGAGGATAACTGGCTTTCTTCTGGCGCCACCATGCCTCGTAATGCGCTTCGAGTGCCAGTTTCTGTCTCTCATTCCGCTCCTCTTGTACCACTCTCTGCCGCATCCACTCCGCTCCCCTCCCATCTCGCTCAATCTCCTCCCGCATCCACCGCACCTGTTCCCGTTTCTCCCTCGCTGCCGCATGGACACGAGCCTGACCAACACTCCTGTCCCCTTGTTGGAAGAAGGGATAAGGACGAGGGAAATCCTCCCGAGTCAGAAACAGAACCTGGTTGAAATGGCCGTCGAAGGTCGAGGTCTCCAAACCTCGAGGAACACCTTGTCTGTGGAAACATTAGCGGGAGTGAGAGGAGGTTACAAGCCCCACTGAACCATGCCTACCTCACAGCACTCCGTGATCGGACAGGTTTCCGAGCAACTCTCCGAGCATATACAGAGTTACCAGCATCCAACTCTAGGAGATCGGTAATAACCGGACATGTTGAGGATCTAAGCCTCGTCTCCAGGCGAGATAGACTAATGTTAGATAAAAGCGGTTGTACGATAGACGAATTGACCGCAATGAACAAAGAGAGGAATAGAATAAAGAAAAGCACTGTTGCTGAGAAGAGGTGATAAATTTGGTGTTGTGTGTGGAAAAATCGAAGTTTTTGTGGGATGGATAGAGGGAATTGATTCTTACCCTCCTAAGTTCGACGGGTACCCCGCTTTTAAAAGCGAACTCCTATCCAAGTTCCGAGGATCAACGTGGTTACCCGTAGCAGGAGTTCGGTCTGGTTTTAACCGAACCCGACACTAACTGTCGGAAGAGACAAGGACACCGAGTTTACCTGGTCTGAGGAAGGCGTGCGTGCGTTCGAATTGCTGAAAGAGGCGTTCCAATCCGACCCCGTATTAGCCCTCTTTGATGCTGAGCTTGCCACCAAGGTTGAGACCGATGCCTCCAACCTGGCCAAATCTAGCATACTGTAACGGCAATATTATATTTCGGCTAAGGTGATAGATTGGGTTGTGAAGAGAAGGAATCGCGCAGTTGGACTATGATTTGTAATGGGTTTTCTGTTATGTTCTTTCGGTTTCCGTTACGCAAGATATTGGTCATCAACGGACTAGGAGTTGGATATATAAGGGGGTGTTGTCTCGTGCCTTTTCATGTTTTCCTTCCTTTCCTCTTCTCTTCACGGAACCTCCTGTATCTACCCTCGCAACACCAAAACTTTCGAACGATAAAACTTTTGGCCTGCACTTTCGATAAAACTTTTACTCGAACACGATCCTGTATGTCAATAGACTCCGTAATCTATTGGTATCTTATCGCACATCTGTTCGTACGCGAAGTCATCCACGCTCTAGTCCCTGAGTTGTGAACTTTCTACCCCTCAAGCCCTCGCCTAAAGTCTCGCGACCGCAGCGAAACCAACCAACAACCTGGCCTCACCACCCAACCCACCAAACACCGCGGGCAGGAAAAGAACTCTATCAGAAGTCTTCCCAAACCCAACTCGAACCGGAACATCAACCATGTCCCAACAAGCCTCTCTGAGCTCCTGGTTTGCAGGAGCCCCCCCCCCAGGAACCCCAGCCCCCCCACGCTTTGCCGACACCCAATCCAGTCAATCCATCCAACAAACACAGTCCACCACGATCGAGCAAACCCAACCCAGCGGCGAACCCTTCTCTATCTTCGCCGAATATACCCAATACAATGAACCATACGCACCAAAGTATGACTACATCCACCCTAGCATCGTCCCCCAAGAAACCCATGCCAGAATGGATCTCAATTACATCTCGTGGGTAATTAGAAATGCCCTCACCGTGGCGCTCGAACCCCTCAACAAGGCAACCGAACAAACCAACAAGAATCTGAAAGCCACCATCGAAGTCCTATCCGTCCAAAATGAATCCCTCAAGCACACCGTCGACACCCTGGCCAAACAAATGTTCGAAATGACAAAGAACCAGGACAAAACATCCGAGAAACTCCACCGCCTACAACACCAACTCACCAATCTCTCCATCAACAGGCACAACAACCAAATGGCCGCCGAAGGAAGAACTGCCACAACCACCGCCGCCGTCACCGCTGCCACCATCCCCGCCCCTCCCCCCGCACCCATCAATAACTCCAACCATGCTCAACATCAACCAAAAGGAAAAGGAAAAGAAACACCAATCCCACAAGCACCAAAATCCTACGCATCCATCGCAGCAGGAAACGCCAACCCCGAATACACCATGGTCACAAACAGGAGGAAGCCCAAACCTAAGGTGGACCCACTATTCAAACCAGAAGTCACCAAAATCAACAGGGAAATAGTCATTGAAACAAATAAAGAATCACCAGTCACCCCCTCCGACATCAGAACAAGAATCAACTCAAAAATCGAAAACCCAGACTGCCAGCTTATCGCCGCCAGGAAAACCTCAAAGAACAACATCGTGCTAGAAACGAAATTTGCTACCCCCGCCTCAAAAGTCTTCGAATACAAACAAGAAATTGAATCAGCCCTAAGAGAACTCAAGGTCCCCTTCGTTGACATAAGGGTCAACTCCAGATGGTCCAAATTTATCGTACACGGAATCCCAACAACAATCGGAGACGGCTATGAAGCAGGACAGGTCATGGCCTCAGAAGTCAGAAGCAACTACGGAACCACCTTCGAAATGGCACAAATCCCCAGATGGCTAAGCAGACCTGAGGCTAGAGCAGGGAAAACGCACTCGTCAATGATCATCGCACTCCCAGGACAATATACAAAAGACAACCTCGGACTGAGATATCTTACCCTATTCGACCGGCAATGCAAAATCGACAACTACCTCCCAGCCAACCCAGAAACCCAATGCTCCAAATGCTTAGAATATGGCCACCGACACGAAAGATGCTCCCACCAAACCGGGAGATGCGGACACTGTGCAGAGGACCACCAAACAAAGGAACACCCATGCTCAGAATGCCCAGGAGGTACCAGATGCATCCATACACCCATCCGATGCTACCACTGCAAGGCCCCACACAAAGCAACAGACGCCAACTGCCCAGAACGTACCAAAGCCCGCATCATAAACAAACTTGGACCAGACACAAACCCAAGCCCACTACCAATACCCATCGTCATCCCGGCCCAAGACCCCCCCCAAGAAGATGCAGCCATGGATAACACCCAATGAGTCACATCAAAAGAACAACGGCCATCGCACAGCAACTGAACTGTGCGAAAAACGAGCTTACAACAAAGTCAGTAGTGGAGGAAGCAGAACAGGACCACAACATACTTTTCCTTTTGTTACAAGAACCATGGAACAACAAAGACGGCCACCCACCGGAATCCCCTCTCTTTTACCTATTCACAGCCAGCAACAAGGGCACTAAAGCCGCCACATACATCAGGAAACACGCCAACCTGAAACCAAAACACCACTACACCCACAGTAATTTCATCGTCTCCGTCACAGTGGAAATCCAGAATCAGAAAACACAGATCCTCAACATATACTCACCAGGACGAAGCGGACCCTTCGCAGAAATCTCCAGACAGATAACCACCATCCAAAACTGCCTCGTCATGGGAGACTTCAACAGCCACCAC